AACCACGGTCGACTACATGGGAGTCCAGTGACATAGCCATTACGCTAACTGCTGGTCCCAAGAGAGCCATGGTTTTTAGAGCATGTGCGGGATCACACAGGAAAGAGGCATCATTTTGGAAACAGGGAGATCCAAGAGATAATGTCCACTGTGAAAGAATACTGACAGTTACGGTTCTCAATGGCTGGGGTTGGCACCTGGGTACTAATTTCAAATATGCTCTTGACATGGATCAGTTGTTGGCAGCCTCAGTTGTCCCTAAAGCCACAGAGATTCTTTGGAGTCTGGAGAGTTCTTCTTACCACCAGCACAGCCTGAATGAAGGCCATAATGTCATTGTGGCAAGGTGCTTGGCGTTGCATCCCTGCTCCCTCCTGTTCTTGTCCTCATGATCATCCTGGCCTTGCTACATACTCTTCTTCTAGGGCAGAGCCCATCCTGGCTCGAATTCAGGAGGACCGCACTGTGGTTGTGTCTCCTGTGTTTGACAATATTCGTTTTGATACCTTCATACTGAGTAAGTATGAACTGGCGGTTGACGGGTTTAACTGGGAGCTCTGGTGCCGCTATGATGCACTGCCACAAGCCTGGATAGACCTGCAAGATGTCACCGCTCCAGTGAAGTAAGTCTGAGTGGGCTCAGGGGACTGCGCCAGCACAGTGGGAAGGCAGGAATAAATTCTGTGGTATTTGTTTATCCTTGGTGGTGGCAAGGAGGGTGGGCTAGGAGAAATGGAAGGGGTGGGGTGAAGGACAAAACTTAGGGTTTTGTTCATGAGCTGATTCCAGATAAGAAATAACAGATATTTTGGGCTATTTAGGGGATTTTAGAGAAAAATCAAACAAAGTATTTAATGTTTTAGAAAACATTTGTGCCAGTTCAAGCATTATTAATCTATGAAGTAGGGACACCTAGATGAAAATGATGTAATTTCAATTAATTTAAGAAAGGTTAGGAAGCACAGTGGGTGGGGAAAAGCTACCTATTCTTAGCCCAGCCTGAGGGTTGAGGAAAGGCTTTCAGGATGAGAAGAGGCTTAGGATAGAATTTTGAAGGCCATCCCATCCCTGGTCTTCCCACCCTTCACCTCCCTCCTAGACCATTTCATGAACTCTCTTGTTTACTCTGCAGGAGTCCTTCCATCATGGTTATCTTGGCAGCCAACAGGCTCTTCTTGGGAGAGATTGGGTCTCTGGATGGCGGGATGCTGGTCTATGGAGGGGAGAATGTGGAACTTAGTCTGAGGGTGAGTACATCTCCTTCCCTTTCATGTGACGGAGCAGAAAGGGAGACTTGTAGGCTCTCTGGAATCTCAGAACAAGGCTGAATGTCATTGTCTCAAGAAGGGGACAAATTCTCATGTTTCCAGGTCACTAGGCCAGGGAGGGGTAGGCAACAGAACGTCTGAAGTGGTGCTTTCTGGGATCAGCCAGATTTGAAATTAGTACCCAAATGCCAACCCCAGCCATTGAGAACCAGAACTATTAGTATTCTTCTGGAACATACATTATCTCTTGGGTCTCCCTGTTTCCAAAACAATGCCTTTTTCCTGTGTGAGTCTGCACATTCTCTAGAAAACACAGCTCTCTTAAATCATTAGGGCACGTGCACTCGCCAGACAGACAGAGAGAAACACAGAGAGACAGAAAGTGAGAAATCACCCCTGAGGGGGGATGGCTATGCTGCAATCCCTTCTCCTCCATTCTCCTCTCGGGATCTTGGGCATGCATGCACATGTGCCCAGTGTGAGTTTTAAGCCACCGGGTCCAGGATTCAAACCACGGTCGACTACATGGGAGTCCAGTGACATAGCCATTACGCTAACTGCTGGTCCCAAGAGAGCCATGGTTTTTAGAGCATGTGCGGGATCACACAGGAAAGAGGCATCATTTTGGAAACAGGGAGATCCAAGAGATAATGTCCACTGTGAAAGAATACTGACAGTTACGGTTCTCAATGGCTGGGGTTGGCACCTGGGTACTAATTTCAAATATGCTCTTGACATGGATCAGTTGTTGGCAGGCTCAGTTGTCCCTAAAGCCACAGAGATTCTTTGGGGTCTGGAGAGTTCTTCTTACCACCAGCACAGCCTGAATGAAGGCCATAATGTCATTGTGGCAAGGTGCTTGGCGTTGCATCCCTGCTCCCTCCTGTTCTTGTCCTCATGATCATCCTGGCCTTGCTACATACTCTTCTTCTAGGGCAGAGCCCATCCTGGCTCGAATTCAGGAGGACCGCACTGTGGTTGTGTCTCCTGTGTTTGACAATATTCGTTTTGATACCTTCATACTGAGTAAGTATGAACTGGCGGTTGACGGGTTTAACTGGGAGCTCTGGTGCCGCTATGATGCACTGCCACAAGCCTGGATAGACCTGCAAGATGTCACCGCTCCAGTGAAGTAAGTCTGAGTGGGCTCAGGGGACTGCGCCAGCACAGTGGGAAGGCAGGAATAAATTCTGTGGTATTTGTTTATCCTTGGTGGTGGCAAGGAGGGTGGGCTAGGAGAAATGGAAGGGGGTGGGGTGAAGGACAAAACTTAGGGTTTTGTCAATGAGCTGATTCCAGATAAGAAATAACAGATATTTTGGGCTATTTAGGGGATTTTAGAGAAAAATCAAACAAAGTATTTAATGTTTTAGAAAACATTTGTGCCAGTTCAAGCATTATTAATCTATGAAGTAGGGACACCTAGATGAAAATGATGTAATTTCAATTAATTTAAGAAAGGTTAGGAAGCACAGTGGGTGGGGAAAAGCTACCTATTCTTAGCCCAGCCTGAGGGTTGAGGAAAGGCTTTCAGGATGAGAAGAGGCTTAGGATAGAATTTTGAAGGCCATCCCATCCCTGGTCTTCCCACCCTTCACCTCCCTCCTAGACCATTTCTCATGGAGGGATTATTAACTCTCTTGTGTACTCTGCAGGAGTCCTTCCATCATGGGTATCTTGGCAGCCAACAGGCTCTTCTTGGGAGAGATTGGGTCTCTGGATGGCGGGATGCTGGTCTATGGAGGGGAGAATGTGGAACTTAGTCTGAGGGTGAGTACATCTCCTTCCCTTTCATGTGACGGAGCAGAAAGGGAGACTTGTAGGCTCTCTGGAATCTCAGAACAAGGCTGAATGTCATTGTCTCAAGAAGGGGACAAATTCTCATGTTTCCAGGTCACTAGGCCAGGGAGGGGTAGGCAACAGAACGTCTGAAGTGGTGCTTTCTGGGATCAGCCAGATTTGAAATTAGTACCCAAATGCCAACCCCAGCCATTGAGAACCAGAACTATTAGTATTCTTCTGGAACATACATTATCTCTTGGGTCTCCCTGTTTCCAAAACAATGCCTTTTTCCTGTGTGAGTCTGCACATTCTCTAGAAAACACAGCTCTCTTAAATCATGTCATTTTACACTCCCTGGAGGTATGGGTGGGAAGGGGCAGAGATGGTGCTTGGCAGATGTCCTGTTTGCTTGAAGACTACAGGGCATTTCCCAAGCATCTCTTGGGATAAGCCAACTTTGGGGCAGATAGCTCTCTGAGAGACCAGTCAAGGCCGGTGAAACCGAGGCAGGCAGAGGGAGCGGGGCATGCAGACATTCAGGCAGCCAGCTTGCTTCTACATAGACAGCCAGAGCAGCCAACATGGTGATGTGCGTTGTGCTGAGTCAGTCGGTCCCAGGAAAAATAGCCAGGATGGGCAGTTCAGCATTGATATCTTCAAAGCAGTTCTAGCTCCAACCAATTTCTGTGTCTCGAGTGATTCTGGCTCCACACTTGAGCAGCGATGTCTCTTGTCTGCCCCAACAGCTTCCCGTGCCTGTTTAGGATTTTTGTACACTATAAGTAAATTTGAGGTGCAAACTAAGATAACTGAGGACATTCCAAGTGCTGGCTCATATTATATCAGTTTATCAGTAGGGCCAGATGTCATGGAGGTTAAGGTGGCTGGATCCCACATGGCTGACTGTGTAGTTTGAGTCCCGGACCTGGCAGCTTGAAAAACAACCCAGGACCATGTATGTAAAATCCTGAGAGGAGAATGGAGAGGCCATCTCTCTTAAGGTGTGTGTGGGGGGTGATTTCTCGCTTTCTTTCTCTTTCTCTCTCTCTCTCCCCCCTTGGTGAGCTCACATGCCAATAGCAGAAATAAATAAGCAAGTAAGTAATTGAAGCAACCCCTCCCTACCCCCCAAACTTGGTGGCTTAAAGCAACTCTAGTTGATTCTCACAGATTTGCAAGCCCAGCTGGATTAGGGTGGTAGTTCAGGCTGGAGGGCAGCAGCCGCCTAGGTTGAAGCAACCCCTCCCTACCCCCCAAACTTGGTGGCTTAAAGCAACTCTAGTTGATTCTCACAGATTTGCAAGCCCAGCTGGATTAGGGTGGTAGTTCAGCACCCGCCTAGGGGAAGAAAACTCTTCTTATGGTGCAGTCGAAGGTAGGGTGTCTTCTCTCAAGGCCTAAGTTTGGATGTAGCATACTATTACAAAGTAGGGCACATGGCCGAGTCAAAATTGCTGTCAAGTGTTGGGGCCAATAAATTCGACTCGTCACAGATCAATCACACGTTTTATGCATACACTAACCATCCCACAGTATCTCCATGTCCCCTTCTGTATAATCGATAGGTCTTCATTAGAAGCCTGGCTCTTAATTTGGGGTTGTTTGTGTTAGTTCATCCTTCTTTCTTCCTGCAGGCCATGTCTGAATTCTTTTTTATTTTTTAGAGAGAGATTTTTGCTGTGGTCATGTGCGCTTACCAGAGACACAGAGAGACAGAAAGCAAGAAATCACCCCCCAGGGGACATGACTACACCACAATCCCTTCTCCTCCATTCTCCTCTTGGGATTTTGAGCATGCACACACACATGCGCCCGGCGTGAGTTTTAAACTGCCAGGCCTGGGACTTGAACTGCGATTGACTACATGGGAGCCCAGCATAATGGTTACGTAACCATTACGCCATCTGCTTATCCCCCACATCTGACCTTTTAAGAAAGGTAACACAAGGTAGAGGAAATCACGTGGTATTGGAGAGAGACAGGCTTTGTCACTGCAAAGTTTGTTATCCTTCCTCCCCCATGACACGCTCTCTACACTGCTCCTGCTCTCTGGGGCACCGGGCGTAAGTGACATGTCGTTCACACTCAGTAGACGGTGCCTGATAAGAATAGCAACAAGGCTCAGCTGTTGTAGCAAGCATGACTGAGACCGGCTGCTCACAGACCGGGTCACACAGCAGGCCCGGGTTCCGGCCCCATGCCCACTTGAACAGGCTGGGCAGGGTGGTCTGCCTCTAGTCCTGGCCAGCTGGGAGGCTGGGAAAGGAGAATCCTGGCACGGTGGAACCCCATCAAGTCTGTCTCTCTCTCTCTCACACACACACACACACACACACACACAAATAAATAAGCTGTACAATAGCAATGGCAAGGATGTCAAAGGGGCATTATCAAAGCTGCTGGAGCTGGGTTCTAATCCGGCTCTGCGGACTCTCTGTGAACCGAACTTCTCTAGGACAGCTCTCCCCTCCCAGCTCTGATAGGCCGTGTCTGAGACTGGGAGACCTTTGTTCTGTTGCGGTGTCCGGAGGAATGAGACGATTTCCTGTCTAGGGTTTCTTCAGTTCCAGTCTCCTTAATTTTTTTCTAATGGAAACTGTTGACCCCTATAGCCCACATTGTACCCAACTGGGACACAGATTGGACCCCACGTTTAAGTTAAATGAACTTTGAGTCTTATCGGGGTTATGCTTTAAGCCACAATCATCTTTCTTTTCTTTCTTTCTCTCTTTCTTTCTCTCTTTCTTTCTCTCTTTCTTTCTCTCTTCTTTCTTTCTTTCTTTCTTGGTTTTGGCAGGGAAAGTTAACTTTAAAAAAATGGTGGTCTTGACCAGTTTTTCCATTTGTGAAATGAAGAAAAGCATTCCTGTTTAGTGTACCTCACAGAGACGATGGTGTAGTTAAAAATGTAACAGTGAATTTCATTTTATAAGGATATGGGTTACAATGCACATTCTACTTCTGCTAGAATAACTAATGAGCTAGAAACTGATTTTCCTCACTAAGATAGGCTTAGTGAGATAGAAACGTGTCTTTCTCCCCCATGACAACTCCAGCATGAGCCACTCAGGGTCGATGCGGCAGCGCGAGGGTAACAGCCTCCAAGCCTGTCCCGTCTTCTGGTTCTGCTGCCTCGAAACCAGATCTGTGTTCTGGCTGTGGGAAGAGGTGGGGGGGCGAGATAGCATGCTCTTTCCTTCTAAAGCGTTCCCTGAAGGTTGTGAATACCGTTTCTTCTCACATTCCATTGGCCGCCAACTAGTGTGCTCAGGAGAGTTCAGGGCACCGTGCATTCCCGCCGTTACGTGCCTGTGACTCCTTCTGTGGCTACAGATGCAGACAAGAGTTCATTTCAAGAGTTCAAGTAGTCTCCAGCACAAACAATGTAAATACAAAATAACTATTAGCCGAATCCTGGAATGACGCACATGACATGGCGCGGGAAATTTCCTTCTTACCGGAGACTTGGATGACTTCCCCTGGAACCCCGATTCCCTAACTTAGGGCCTAAGCTAGTTCTCGGTATTTCTGACTTTTCTTGCCTTGCTTCCCACATGGGCATCTAGCTGGCTCTCTGTATCTCCGTCCTCCCATCCCATACTCGGAGCTCTGCCCTTTCACTTTCCCCAGCAAAGTCTATTCCTTTTAATATTCTGTGATTTTTTTTTAGTTTTTTTTTCATGAACGCAAATGTGTATGTGTGTCTGTGTGTGAGAGAGAGGGAGACTCGTGTCCTCGACAGAGTCCCATGCTGAAATGATCCCTTACGATCCTCACCTGGGACCCCACCCCCAGCCAGCGGGGGCCCTGGTGTGTGCCCGGCATGCACAGGCTGGCCGGGGAACAGAACCCTCAGTCTTCCATTCGGATCCAGCACTGCTTGAGCGGCGTGGTACTGCTGCGCCGATGAGCGAACCCACATTCTGTGATATTTTTAACGGAGTTGGCTGGAAATACAGAGAGTGTCAGGAGAAGGGCCGTTCTCTCCCTCTTCCCCAGTAAAGCAGTCTTGCTCATATCCAGGTTCCCTGGTTTGCGTGACGGTTTAAAACAGGCTTGGGGTGCCTGTGTCCAGGCACTGACCTGGGAGCACAGCCGAGCCCTGCGGGCGCTTTATTCTGACATCTAGTGGCCACAGGTGGTAGTGCACATGGAGGCCTGTAATCCAGGCTGATGGGGGCGAGAGGGGGAAACCAGCTCTGGTCTGGCCCCTTGTACATTCCTGGCACTGCCCTGGAGCTTAACACCTGGACTCCCTAGGTGCAGAATCCAACTGTCACGTACAGCTGGTGAATGTGGACAGGTCACTTAAAGGGAGGCACCAATAATACCTGTGTAGTGAGTCTTAAATGTGTGACAACTGTGAGGAGAACATGCAGCACAATTAGCCATTGTTATCACAGGCAGAGGCTTCCTGTCTCTGGGGGGAGAGGGACAGAGAGAGAGAGGGAGAGAGAATGAGGGAGTTTAACGTTTCAGAATAAATTGAGGAAGTAGTTTGAACACTGTTAAGGAAGGACCTTCCTAGAGAAATGGCAAACCCTGATTTTGACTTTGAATTGAAGGTTTCTTGACCACTAATTAATTCCCCTGAAATGCTTGTGCATAGGCAACCTCCATCAACTAGAAAAGTCAAAATAAAGTTGCAAAGGGACCAGCAGTTAGTGTAATGGCTATGTCGCAGGACTCCCATGTAGTCGACCGCGGTTCGCGTCCCGGACCCGGTGGCTTAAAGCTCACGCCCAGCGCGTGTGCGTGCGTGCCCAAGATCCCGAGAGGAGAATGGAGGAGAAGGGATTGCGGCGTGACCATCCCCCTGGGGGGGTGATTTCTCGCTTTCTGTCTCTCTGTCTCTCTCTGTCTGTCTGGCGAGCACATGTGCCCTATAGTAAAAACCTCAATGTGTGACAACTGTGAGGAGAACATGCAGCACAATTAGCCATTGTTATCACAGGCAGAGGCTTCCTGTCTCTGGGGGGAGAGGGACAGAGAGAGAGAGGGAGAGAGAATGAGGGAGTTTAACGTTTCAGAATAAATTGAGGAAGTAGTTTGAACACTGTTAAGGAAGGACCTTCCTAGAGAAATGGCAAACCCTGATTTTGACTTTGAATTGAAGGTTTCTTGACCACTAATTAATTCCCCTGAAATGCTTGTGCATAGGCAACCTCCATCAACTAGAAAAGTCAAAATAAAGTTGCAAAGGGACCAGCAGTTAGTGTAATGGCTATGTCGCAGGACTCCCATGTAGTCGACCGCGGTTCGCGTCCCGGACCCGGTGGCTTAAAGCTCACGCCCAGCGCGTGTGCGTGCGTGCCCAAGATCCCGAGAGGAGAATGGAGGAGAAGGGATTGCGGCGTGACCATCCCCCTGGGGGGGTGATTTCTCGCTTTCTGTCTCTCTGTCTCTCTCTGTCTGTCTGGCGAGCACATGTGCCCTATAGTAAAAACCTCTCTCAAAAAATAAATAAATAAAAAAATAAAGTTGCAAAGAAAAGGTGTGGTTTGAGTTAAGCCTGCAGGCTTCCGTAGCTGAGCACTCGTCACATCGTTTAGCCCTGATAACCGAATGGTGGGCGTGCTTCCCTGCACGCGTGGGAGCCGAGGCTCGGGAAGGTGCGTGTGCGGGTCCTAGCCGTCAGGCGTGCAGTGATGGAATAGCATTGAACACGGCTCAGTCTGACTCCAAGGCCTGGCCTTTTCACTCCGCTCTTGTGGCGTGTGGGGGGCTGAGGAAGGGTGATCTGTGGGTTAAGAAGTGGAGGAAGGGATAAAACTGTGAAAGGCAGGTACTGGGGCCGACACCGCAGGGATGGCTTCGTCTATTTTCTGCTGCTGTAACAGAGTTCCACAGACAGCAGTTTATGAACAGAATACATTTATTCGCCTCATGGTTCTGGAATCTGGGAAATTCAAGAGAATGGCACCGGCTTCTAGAGAGAGTCATCCCGTGGCAGAGGGCACATGACCGAGTGTGTGGGAGAGAGCAAGAGACAGCTATTTTTATAGCGTGTGCTTGCCAGAGAGACAGAGAGAGATTGAGAGACAGAAAGTGAGAAATCACCCCCTACCCACCCCAGAAAGATGGCCACGCCGCCATCCCTTCTCCATTTTCTTCTTCAGATTTTGGGCACGCACGCACACGTGCCCAGCGTTGAGTTTTAAGCTACTGGTCTGGGACTTGAACTATGATTGACTACCTGGGAGTCTAGTGATGTAACCATTACACCATCTACTGGCCCCCTTAATTGCTTCTTAAAGGCCCTACTTCCCAATCTGTTTCAGATTAATCTGCAATATAAAAACTTTGAAAAACATACTCAAACCACAGAAGGTGGATCCTCTTTGGATATGTTAGCGAAACCAGCGGGGCCCCAGCCACTCACCCTCCTCTCAGCAGCTCCCATTGGCCTGTGCATGGGAGGCTGCTAACTACTGCTGACTGGGCTAATTACTTCCCAGCAACTGCAGCTCATTTAGGCAGCCATGAAGAGAAGACACGGGAGACACGATGTCCTCCAGTTCCATCAGGTAGTTCTATTATCTAGCAGGATGAAGACTGTAGTTTCTAAGCCAAATATTAGAATGCGTGTCCTAAGTGTGTGTGTTTCTATTAGCATGGGAAAGAAGGATATTCATAATTAGAACGTATGTCATGGTATCTCTTGGGTGTGAATTGCCTAAATTAGTGATCTGTTGCTATGTAACACTATGATCACAAACATCGCGTGCAAAAGCAAGATGCATCAGTATCTCACAGTTTCTGTGGGTCAGGAGTTCATGCATAACTTGCTTGGTTCTCTGCAAGAGAAGAGATGGTGGCCAGGGGTGAGGAGGGAGGAATCTGCTTTGAAGCTCAGGTGGCTGTTGACAGCAACCAGTTTTCACTGGCTATCAGCTGGAAGCCACTCCGAGTTCGTTGCCACGTGTCCTTTCCCTCTGATATCTCACAATACAGCCTCTCCCTTTAAAGCAGAGGGTGTAATGCAGTCACGCACAGACGTACTCTATTGACTAGAAGCAGTCCCAGGACCACGTGTAAGGGGAGGGGATTAGGCAAGGGCTAGGACACCCAGAGCAGGAAGGATCGTGGGGCCACTGTGGAGTCTGCCTGTCTCATTGCCCTACATCTGGTATGTAGGCAGAGGAGGGTTATGGGAAGCTGAGTGCAGTGACAATGGCTTAGGGCCTGGTACTTCTCAGGACTTGGGACTTTACCAGGGGATAAGCTGCAGAGATATCCCCTTGGGTCTGTTTAGAACTTCCTAAGGAGGTGGGCTTTCTGGAATGGTTTGAGTGACAATAGAGAAGTCATTGATATATTTCTAAAGAGGAATCATTTAGATAGTAGGTGGGGAGGCCACATATGGGGGGAGTAAAAGGACTGACCTCCTGTGCTTTTAAAAAGTGTTTGCAAAATGGGATCTCCTGGTGAGCTATGCAATTTGTCGATTATGAGGTTCAGTTCACGTATTTGATTTTTTCTCATCTCTTGCAGGTGTGGCAGTGTGGAGGGAAGATTGAGGTCTTACCCTGCTCCCGGATCGCTCACTTAGAGAGAAGCCACAAACCTTATGCCTTGGATCTGAGCCCCGCCTTGAAGCGCAATGCTCTGCGCGTGGCGGAAATCTGGATGGGTGAACACAAGCACATGGTCTACTTGGCTTGGAACATACCTCTCCAGGTTTGTCACAGAATTGAACAGAAGCAGGAAAGATTGAAGGAGGAAGAGCGAGTAATAATGGTGGGGAATGGGAAAGGTTAGAACAAGAATACTAGCTCAGCTCTAAGAATTAGGGAAAGGTCCTGGTCTTAGTGCACTATTGTATTACTAACAGAAATACCTGAGATTGGGTAATTTATCAAGAAGAGGTTTATTTGACTCATGATTCTGATAGCATGGGTCTGGCATCGGGGGTACTGTGTCACAACATGACTGACAGAAGCAGAGAGGATGACAAGCATGTGCAAAGAAAGAGAGCTGAAGGCATTCACCTTTCGTTCATAACAGCCTGCTCTCACATGAACTGTATCTCATGAGACAGCATGAATCCATTCTTAGGCCTCCCCTCTTAAGGTCTCATAACCCCCTAGCCATTACACTGGGGACTAAAGTCCAAAACATGAACCTTTGGGAGATACACCAAACCATAGCAGTCCTGACCGTGCGGTAATAATGACACTTTAACATTTTTTTTGTATTTTTTTTTTGAGAGGTTTTTGCTATAAGGCGCGTGCACTCACCAGACAGACAAAGAGAGACAGAGACAGAAAGCGAGAGAAATCACCCCCCATGGGAAATGGTCATACCGCAATCCCTTCTCCTCCATTTTCCTCTCGGGATCTTGGGCACGCACGCACATGTGCCCGGCGTGAGTTTTAAGCCACTGGGTCCGGGACTTGAACCAGGGGAGTAAAAGGACTGACCTCCTGTGCTTTCAAAGTCGACTACGTGGGAGTCCAGCGACATAGCCATTACACTAACTGCTGGTCCCATTTTTTTGTATTTTTTAAATAAAACTTTTATTTTTATAAATTTGCTATAGGGTGCATATGCTCACTGGAGAGAGACAGAGAGAGGGAAAGTGAGAAAACACCCCCTTCCTCCAGGGGGGATGACCACACTGCAAACCCTTTCCCTCCATTCTCCTCTTGGGATGTTGGGCATGTATTGCATATACCCAGCATGTTTTTCAAGCTGCTGGGTCCAGACTCAAACCATGCAATTGGCCATAACTAACTGCCTTAACCACCAGGATACCAGATGGCCCTACACTTAACATTTATGTAACAATATTGTATTCTAGACTGTTTTTAATTCTTTTTAGAATTATTCAATTTAATTTTAATTATTATTATTATTATTTAAAGTTGCTATAGGGCATGCATGCTTATCTGAGAGAGAGAGAGAGAGAGAGAGAGCAAGCCAGCAGGTCTGAGACTTGAACTGCAGTTGGCCATGTGGGAGTCCAGTACCCTAACCACCATGCCACCTGTTGGCCCAGACATTTTGTTTTATATATTAACACATTAACCAGCAGGACATATGTATAGAGTTGTTTTATTTTTATTATTCTAAACTTTACAAATGAGGACACCGAGACACAGAGAGTTGGAAGGAACTCATTTAAGGCTAGCTGAGGGGGTGATGGAAAAAAACTATGTGGAGATTTCAAATTCTTTGCACCAAAGTAAACTTAATACTTTTATTCCATTTTCCCATGAAATCTTTGAAGGTCCCTTATACGGGTAGTAAGTAGGAAAACTGAGATCAAGAAAATCTGACTTCTAAATTCCAAGTTAGTTCTTCTACCTTCTCTGCTGGGGGATTTCCGGGAAGGCAGGGTTGAACATCAGCAATTCACCGAACTAAGAGGCTGTAAACATGGTAGGTGGGAGGTAAGGTGATGGGAGGAGACTCTGTAATCTTATTGGAGGTATAAGCCTTCTTGGTTAAGGCCACAGCTGTCATCCTGGCTCCCGAAGTTAATGTGTGCTTTTCTGTTCCTGAGCGCTGGCCCTGGGCTCAAGGATGTGGAGCTGTGTTTGCTCCCCAAGAAAAAGCCATCTCATGGCAGAATCTTCCCCTCTGTCACAATGGGTCTTGAAGTAGCTTCAGAAAACCAGAGTCAGGGTGATGGGAACCGTGGAAGGATTCCAGAAAGGGCAAGTCCAGAAATGAGATAGGGTCTGGAGAATCTAACTGTGCAGAAATTCCCAAGCCTTCTTTACAATTTAAGCCATCATAAGCCTTCCTTTAATGACCCAGGGTGTCTGAAGAGATGGGTAAGGATTGATTCTGGTGTCCCAGTTTACCAAAGTATGCTAGGAAAACGAGTACCAGCCAGGACATCCTTAGTTCTTCTCGGCGAAGTCACGGTGTGACTGCCCCACACTGTAAAGGAAAGCGTCCCTAAATCAACGCGCTTCTACGAGAGATGATCCAGACTCCAGAAGGGAGTCTGCAACAAGCCACAGAGGAAAATTCAGGCAAGAGGGTGATACACAAGGAGTTCCTACATTTCCTACTCGATTTTGCCTCATTAGCATCCTCTCACTTTATTTCTCCACAAACACTCTTTTATTTTTTTTTAAGAGAGATTTTTGCTCTAGGGTGTGTGTGTTCACTGGAGAGACAGGGAGTCAAAAACTGAGAGATTATCCCCCAGGGGGGATGACCATGCCACAATCCCTTCTCCTTAATTCTCCTCTTGGGATTTTGGGCACACATGCACACATGCCCAGTGTAAGTTTTAGGGTGCCAGATCCAAGACTTGAACTGGGGTTGACTATGTGGGAGTCCAGCAGTGTAACTATTATTCCATCTGCTAATTCCCACAGATAGCACTTCTTAAATGTCTCCTTTAACCTCTACATCTCAATGCCAGAATATTCTTCTTGAATGGCTTTTCTGGCCTTTGTGAAGGGTATTTTGTGCCTTAATGAGGCAACTAGAAGGGGTCTGCATAGCTTGCTATGAGGAGAAAGCGAGGCCCACCACCATGGCCCTGCTATGCTGCTCTTCTCGGTATCTTTGAAGTCAGCGGAGGTTCCCAGGGCTCAAGGGATTTATATTACTTTCCCTGGAAATATAAATATTAAGGTCAGCTCGCAGACTATCCGGAAAGCAAGCTCTCTCATGTATGGTCCATACCCGTACCGGGAGACGAGAAGGTTGCCCGGGGCAAGGCACAGAACCCTTGGTGTTTTCTTTACAGAACTCAGGGATTGATTACGGAGACATTTCTTCCAGAGTGGCACTTCGAGAGAAACTGAAATGTAAAAGCTTTGACTGGTACCTGAAAAACGTGTATCCACTCCTGAAGCCAATCCACAGCATCGTGGCCTATGGAAGAGTATGTAGTACACACTTGGATTTTATTGATTGATTGGTTGTAATTTGCTATAGGGTGCACACACTTGCCAGAGAGGGAGAGAGGGAGAGAGAGAGAGAGGGAGAGAGAGGAATTGAGAAAGTACCTCACAGGGGATGACCATGCTGCCATCCCTTCTCCACTCTCCTTGGATTTGGGGCATGCACATTCAGGTGTCTGGCATGTTACTCAAGCTACTGGGTCTGAGACTCAAAAACGCAGTCTGTCGTGGAATCCAGACACCTTAACCATCACACTGGCCCTGAGCTTGCATTTTATTATGATGATGATTATTTTATTAATTAATTTATTTTACTTACTTTCACTAAACATCATCACAGTATACCAAATGTGGTTTTCCAGCCAGAATACACTGTAAATGGCTTAATCATACATGTTATCATCAACAAATAATTTTCCATTTCTTGTTTCATATATATATATATAGATGATTTCCCCCATTTCTCACCCTCTGCCATTTTCCATCCTCTGCTCACCCTGTCTCTCATCTCTACAGTTGCTTTCCATTTCTTTATTGTTTCCCACATTTATTGATTCACAAAATAGCTTAATTGATCTAAATACTTTCAATAGTAAGTTCAGCTGATATATACATGTCTATGAGCAAAAGTTGATTGTAGGTATGAAACTCTGTGGGTAGAATGAATATACTATAAAATAGCACAGAGCTGAGGCTATATAGCTTACTGTGGTTATTAAATAGGTATTTTTAAATTACATTTTTTAATTTCAAGAAAGGCAGTTCTAGTTTTAATAAGTCAAAATCAAAAAAATGTTAAGAGAACTTTGTTTAAGACTTAAAGCCAGGAAACAGGTTAGGATTCTGTTCGAATAGTAGGTCCATGGACCTGCCCACAACTCGAGAGAAGACAAAGCTCCTTAACACCGGAAAACAAAGCACAGAAGGTCAGTAATGTTTTAGTCAAAAGTCTTCAAATTCCATTTCACCAGTTCAAACTCATGTACGTTATCTTCTGTTGTGGCCCGATCTTTCCATTTAAATTCTGGAAGATAATATTCAACTCTGGACTTGTCCCTACCATTAAGTTGGTCATGTTCTTAATTGTTTTAGAACTCTTATTTCTATGGAGTTTTGTCTGAACATGTCACAAAGATATTTTAAAATGCTAGTAGTAAATTCTTTCAGGTTTTGTTTATCTGAGAATGTTCTTGTCTTCTCTTCCCATATGATGGATAATCTTGCTGGATGTAGTATTCTTGGTTGAAATTGTTTTTCTCTTAACACTTTGAATATATTTTCCCATTTTTCCTTGCTCGCATTGTTTCTGATGAGAATTCCACTGTTAGCCTCATGGGATACCCTTTGAAAGTAACTTGACATTTCTCTCTTGCCAATCTTGTCTTTGTCTGTGGTTTTGGTCAATCTGGCTATAACATGTCTTGGAGAAGATCTTGGGTTGATCCTTTTTGGGGTCCATTGTATTTCTTGGGTCTGGATCTTTCAATGCTTCTCTAGCTTTGGGAAATTTTCTTCCAGGATTTCATGGAATAGATTGTCAATGTCCTTATTAGTCTCTTCACTTTCTAGGATACTGATTATCTGGATGTTTGGATGTTTAATGGTATCTAGTATTTCTTGTATATTCTCATTTTTTTTTTTTGGCTATTTTCTCAGTCTTCTCAGTCTCTGGATTTTACTAGTCCAGCGATCCTATCTTCTACATCTGAGATTTGATTTTCTGTATGATCTAGTCTGCTTTTAACACTTTCAAAGGAGGTTTTGACTTCTTGTATTACAGCCTTCATCTCCAACAGTTCCATTTGACTCTTTTTTATGGTGTGTATTTCCTCTTTCAGCTCTCGCAAGAACTTCCTCAACTCCTGGAACTCATCGGCTTTTTTCTTTTGGTGTTCATTGTCTCTCTTCTCTCCCATCTCTGTTAGTTTTGTCACTATGAAAACTCTAAATTCTTTGTCAGACATTTCCATGAGTTCCACTGTACTATCTGGATGAAGAGGAGTTATTCTTTTCCCTTGTGGGTGAGGTATTTTTTTGGTTTTGCATATTTCTTCTGCCCCTGTGGTGATTTTTAGTCATCTGATGGATTATTTGTTTCTTCCTAATTTCTTGAAGATCGGTCTGAGTGATCAGAGGCACACAGGAGGAAGTGGTCTGCAAACTTTTAGGTGCTGCATTTTTTCCCTTTGTGTCACAGATTCAGTGGGAGTTGAGGAATATGAGGACCCAAATAGTATTTGGATTTTGGCGACTTTTCACTTAGACTTGTCTAGACACTCAGTGGGTGGAAGCTCTCATGGCAGACTCAGTCTTCTTCTGGCCTACCCTTTCTGTTTGCTAGGGTGAATTCTTAGCAGAACATCTTCACTGTCTTATCTCTGAAATCTCTAGGTCTCAGCCCTCGTGGTGGACTCAGTCTTCTCTGAACTTGCATTTAGATTTTAAATGTTTAACTATGGCAGTCTGAAACCTGAATCACGTGACTGCCCAGCTGAGGGTTTCCACATCTATTCTCCCTAAGATTCCCTTCCTACCCCTGGCCCTTCCTCAGCCCTTTGTCTTTGGGCCTTCTCAGTTTCCTTTCATCTCTGGCTCTTCTGTCTCCATCTCTTGCCTTCTCTCTGCCTGAGTCCCTTGTGGCAGCCCTCACCCGGGTCTCTTGGCAGGGTATGTGGGCTCACCTGCCCGCACTGTGGCAGAGGCGTCCTGTGTGTGCTGTGATGGTCCGAGGTGGGTGGGTGATCCCAGGAGGCGGGCACTGTAGCGCCATCACCTCAGCACTGTCTGTTTCTCAGTGCTTGGAGAAGGGCTGCCGGAATCAGCGTCCTTTCAGCTGGTTCTGGTGCTCTCTGTGAAGATGTGACAACTCAGTGCACTGGGGAGGCTTGGGCCCTCTTCGTCTGCTGCTTCCCAACAGTGCTGTGTGTTTTGCCTTTTCAGATGAAAAACACATTGGATAGAACTATCTGCGTGGATCGTGGGCCTGTTCCAGGCAATATCCCCATCATGTATCCCTGCCATGAATTCAGCCCACAGGTATCTTCTACAACCTTCCTTGCCCCAGAAGAGTGAGTCTGGTGTGGCTCAGCCCCTGGTGGCCTTAGCTGATTTAGACTTGGTGTTTGGTCATGGGGAGGCAGGAGCTGAGCATCCCGGGTAACAGGCAAGGGTGAAACCCAACATGCACATGTGTTTAAGCACTTCCTGGTTCATTGGAAAAAGACATGGTGAGGTCATTCCACTTCAGGTGGAGGAAGGGTAGGTAGGAAATCCGTGTTCTGTCATATTCATTCTCCACGGAAATATTTCCTTGGTGATCAACCTCTGA